GGCGGTGAAGATAGCAAAGAGAGAAGATAAGAACCGGAAAAGAGAGGAGACAGTAAAGAGAGGAGGCTGGGAAGACGGCAAAGAGAGGAGAGAGACTAAGGTGGAGAAGCAGAGAGGACGGAGAAGTAAAGGGGTGGGGGTTACTTGCACATGTAGGGGTGGGATGTCACTTGCATATGTGGGGTGGGGGTGGTCTTTTATATTGGGGTACAAAATGGGGTATGTTTGGGGTGTAAGTAGCATTACCCTATAAATACTGATGTGAGGCTCAATGGATGATCAAAAGAAAGAAGGGAGTGATAACAATCGTTCATGTCAAATTATATTTTAAAAAGTCAAAACAATTGCAATAAAAATTTAAAAGGCCATTGTCTAATAATACGGGCTCTTTTGTTTTGAGTATTTCTTTTCTACCATAAAACTTGGGTTCATTGTATAATGTTTGAACCTATGTAATATGCAAATTTTATACTCATTTCGTTTCCTAAAAGAGTTCTTGTTTTGACTTTTAGCCAAATTAAGAAAAGTGTAATTTTGGTTGACTTTCCTATTTTGCTCTTGATGTGATAAGTAAAAGTAAGATGTGATATAGTTTGGTTATTAGTGAAAAAGTATGATGTGATAGGTATGAAATGACAAAGTATGGTAAAAGTAGTTTTTTAATAAAAAAAGGAAGTGTTTTAAGGAATTGGAAAAAAATAAAAGAGGGAAGGTTTTAAGGAACGAAAGGAGTAGAAAATATGGGAGAACTATTTAAAAATGATTAAAAAATACAGAGTATTTCATATTCTAAAATACCAATACAAATATACAATGTCAAGTTATATATAATGTCAAAGAACGTGAATATCTAATGTCAAATACCAATATACAATGTCAAGTTATTAATACGGATGGTAGATTAGTTATATTATTTATTAATTAGTAGTCATTTAATATTCAATAGTTAATCTTGTTTAGGGTTTTAGTATGGGCCCGAGCCCATTAGGTTAATTAGGGTGTTCCCCGACCCCCTCGTCTCTATATATTGTAATCAATCCTTTTTACTATAAGCAATATCAAAATCCTAATCTCTTTCTCTATTTTCTTGGAGCCCGGAAAATAGAGAAAGAGATTAGGATTTTGATATTTCTTTATTCAGTGCTTATGGTAAAAAGGATTGATTACAATATATAGAGACGAGGGGTCGGGGAACACCCTAATTAACCTAATAGGCTCGGGCCCATACTAAAACCCTAAACAAGATTAACTATTGAATATTAAATGACTACTAATTACTCCCTCCGTCCGGAATTCAAGTTCCCATTTTGACTTTTGGTCATTTTTATGGGAAGTTGACTTTGTCTACAATTTGTCCAAAATACCCCTAGGCTTCATTTACCAGATACGCCACACCCCTAAAGCCAAATCCGTCGTAGTAACAATGGCCGCCGCAACAACTGATCGATGGCCACACCAACAAACCCCAAGCAACGGAACTCTTTGCCGCACCAATTCGACAAATCTCTCTCTTTCTCTACTGAGCAAACCAGACCCAATTCGAATCTCTTGCAGCACAATAGATCTCCAGATTTTTTAGATCTGGAAAAAACAAACGAGATCCAAACTCTGGTAGAAGAAGAAACTGGAAAAAAAAGAAAAAGAAGGGGGGAAGAGAGAGGGGGGATCGGAGATCCAAACTCTGGCAGAAGAGGGCTAGATCTAACTGAGAAAAGAAAAGGAAAAGGAAGAAGAAGAAGAAGAAGGAGGAGGAGGAGGAGGAGGAGGAGGATGAAGGAAAGGGGGGAGGAAGTTAACGTGGAGAAGAAAAGGAAGGGGGAGGGAAAGAGAAGAAAGAGTACCTGGCGGAGAAGCGGAGAAGACATTGCCGAGAAAGAAAAAGGAAAACAAGGACGGGAAAGGGAGATAGAAGGGTATTTTAGGAAGATTGGATATGAAAACGTATAATGGGAACTTTATTTCCGGACGGAGAAAAGCATAGAATGGGAACTTGAAATCCGGACAGAGGGAGTAATAAATAATATAACTAATCTACCATCCGTATTAGTTATTGAATTGTAGCACAATAATTTTATTTAAAGATTAAAACATAGGAGATTCTATTTTGTTATAAGTTTAATATTTTGGTCATATTTAGATAAAAATTTTTAAAATAAATCTAAGAATTGCTTTTTTAACATCACAAAATATTTATATAAGCAAGTAAGAAAATCTATAAATTTTTAAGTGCACTTATTTCACCAAAAAATCACCCTTTGGTCTTAACAAAAATACACAATATACAAAAATACTTAAGTTGAATAAAAACGATTAGATGAGAATAATGTATTAAAATTAAAAGAAATAGTTCAAGAAACAATTTCACATGTAATTATGTTGCAAGTATGTAAACCCAACATGTGCACCTAACAGTGTTAGAAAAAAAAAGTAGACGACACACCATTTACTACTATACTAATTACGGAATAGAAAAAACAAGTAAAGAAAAGAGCTCACCGGCCAAAAAAAAGTATCCAATTGTACTCTATCTTGTCGAGTAAAAAATAATATTACAATTCACCGTACTTAATTAAATTATTTTTAATCTAATTCATTTTAATATTATTGTAAAAATCAAAGATTAAGTTTTTATAATTCGTATTTAAAACTTCCTCTCACTGTCCCAGTTAAATTTAGACACTTTGACTTCATGTAATTTAAGAAAAATATTAAAACAAAAAATAAATAGTTGAAATTTATTCTGAAGAATTTTAAAAGATATAGTTAAAAAATATAGTAATTCCTTTTTTTGGATAACCCAAAAAGGACATTTATTGGGAGGTTTCTCCGACATTGTAAAGAAAACGAAAAGAAGTCCAATATATAAATCTAATAGTCTCTTCTCCTATCACCAATTGGTTTTAGAATGGAACCTCCATGGACTTGTGTGTTGGGCCTATCACACATCTGCGAACAAATCGATGTGTGTCCTCACACGTTATGATTGACCCACCGAACTTTTATCATGGTATCAGAGCAGGTTCGATCTAGATTCATTCTGGATTTGAATATTTTACATTATGTTTTTATTAATATATAAATATGTGATAAAAAATTAAAAATGTCAAATTTATAAATTACACAAATCAAAATTTATCTTTTTTTGTTGATTCTATCTCATTTTTACTTTAGATAAAAATACTTTAGTTACTCTGAATTATAAATCAATAGAGCATTGAAGTTTAAGAAAATGATCAAAATTAAGAATTTTAATAATTTATTTTTGTAAGAACAAATATTTAAAAAAATCACTTATCAAAATTAAGGTTCAAGCTAGACTTGGAACAATCCTTACAGACTTTCTGATCCTAAAAGTTTACTATTTTTTAAGAGCAATGCTACGTTCACAAACAGAATGGTCACAAACTTACTATTTATGGTTTAAATTCTCATTTTAAAATTATTTTTAACTATTTAATTTTTTTATTAAAGTTTACAAATAGTAAGTTTGTGAAATTTGTGAATATTGTGTTTGTGAACCAAGCATTTTCCATTTTTTAATGGATACCAGACTTGTCCGGGCCATTCTAAATAAAGATCGGATCGATCTCATCCTAAATAGTACGGTATTTTATAAGGATCAATCTGATCCGACCTATCGTGTCCTTTAACTCATGTCTACTTTAGTGTCCTTATTAAGGCCGACAAGCCCAGATAATACTATACTCCTTCCGTCCCAAAATAACCTTTCTATTTTCTTTTTCAAGTTGTCCCAAGATAAAGTTTCAAATCCTTAATAAAATAGAATAAGTGGTCCATATTACCTCTCTTCTCTTCATAAATCTCTATATTGAAAAAATATATATTACGGAGTAAATTTTAGAGTTGTTCTGACGTGGTTTTAAGGTCTATGTGTGAAATGTGAATCTTTTCACGATTTTCATGAGGCGGAAAATAGATTTATTTTATTTTTACAAAAGACCTAACATTTTTATGATATCAATATATTAAGATCCATAAAATAAACATGAATCTTAAGACTATGTAAGAATTTGTCTAAGTTTTAATCTTAGAATTAATCTATAAGATGAGACAACATTTTTTCCAAGGAGATACTAGGGGTACACCTTCTAAAGGTGTACCCCATAGGTGTACCCTAAATGTACACCACATACCACTCCACCATACATTTTTTTATTTTTTTATTTTTTTCTTTGAATTTACTTGCCAATTTTTATGGGCAAAGAGAGGATGGGGGACATTTGGGTACCCCTCACATTTTTCTTTTTTTCACAGCCATTCACCAAGATAGAACCGGAACATTACCATCTTTTCCACGGCCTACTAACACTACGCCCCGAACCAAGAGGCCCAAAACAGTGAATTAAATAGAGTGAGCCCTCTCTCACCTATAGATACGTATCAATAATACACACCCCATTCCACCCCACACCCCCATTTACTTCTCTCCAAACACACCCCCACCCCCTCTCTCACTCCCATCCTAATTTAATTTCCTCTCCTAGCTCCGCCGCCTCCATCTCCGCCGCCGCCGGAATCCAGCAGACATGACGGAGAAGGAGTGCAGCATCCACCAGGAGGAGCAGCAGAAGAAGATCCAGCGGCTGTGCGGGTGCCTCTGCACCCTCCTCATCCTCTTCCTCCCCGTCTTCCTCGTCACCTGGGCTGTTCTCCAGCCCCACAAACCCCACTTCGTCCTCCAAGACGCCACCATCTACTCCTTCAACGTCTCCGCCCCCAACATCTTCTCCACCACCCTCCAGGTCACATATTTTCTTATATATATATGATCTGCCAATATGTCTGGTCATACTCTAAACATATAAGTCATGAACTATTCGTTTGATCAATTTGATATTTTAGAAATCATCTTAAATAGGATTAAAACATAAAGAAAGAAAAGTAGCTTTTGATGGGCAAAGCCCTATTCTGGAAAAAAAACTAAGTCATGAACTATTTGTCTGATCGGTTCGATATTTTCGATTTTGGTACTACAGGTGACGATTTCGTCCCACAACGGGAACCGGCGGATCGGAATATACTACGACCAGTTCAACGTCTACGCCACCTACCACGACCAGCAGATCACGTACAACACCGTCATCCCGCCGGTGTACCAGGGCCACAAGGACACGAACCTCTGGTCGCCGTTTCTCTACGGGAACAACGTCCCCATAGCGCCGTTCATCGGCCCCGACCTCCGGCAGGACCAGGACGCCGGCGCCGTCTGGATCACCGTCAAGATCTACGGCCGCGTGAAGTGGAGGGTGGGGACGTTCGTGTCCGGGCGGTACCACCTCCACGTCACCTGTCCGGCGTATATACCCTTCGGCAACTCCGCCAAAAACGGCGGAGTTGTGGTGGGAGACGCCGTGAAGTACCAGCTCTCTCGCAGCTGCGCCGTCAGCGTCTGATTGTAACGGAGTTAAGCGTCGGTCGGTGGACAAGTATATGTTTTTCTTTTTTATTTTATTTACTCACCGTATTATTATTGCTATAGCGCTGTTTCGTTTTGTCATATTCTGGGAATATATATAATTACTGTTACTTTGTATATTTGGCGATGAAAATGGAAGGGGGCGGTGGGTGGGCGATACCAAATTTTCAATGATGACCTGTAATTCCAAATAATTGTACTTTGATACTTGAAAAGTTTGATACTCCTTACTTTACCTAATTACGGCAATACCACCTAACATTTCATTCTCTCCGTCCCTATTTTAATTATTACGAAAAATGAAAAAAAATAAATTTTTTTAATTCATTTTATTTTAAAAATTGAGATAAAAATAAAAAATAAGACATAAGAAATATGTTTTATTTTATTAAATAATCAATTAAATTGCACAAATAAAAAAAAAAGTTATCGTGATTTTAAAATTGTAAACAATGTAATCAATCGTGGGATAGTGTATTTATTTATTTATTTAAAAAATATTTTATTTTATTTATTTGATAATAAATTTATCTATTTTTCATCATTACAAACATACTCTAAAAAAATTTGAGGACCCTGCCTCAGTACCCCCATCCTACTCATTGCTATGACTTAACACTCAGTCATATTTTTTTCTATGACACCAGCTCTAATTATTGGAAAACTTATGATGCTCTGATCACAAAAATTGATGATTTATGTCCTCTAGCATCCAGTAAACCACTACCCGGCGTGACTCGAACTCATCCCTCAATATTGCACATGAAACCATAATATTTTTAAACCGAGTGGCGATGCGCTTCAAACTTGATCGTGACCTCTTGTGAAAGAATTATGAATTGGAGAAAATTCTCTTGTATTTCTTGTGTTTACAATTTACAAAGAAGTCATATATATATATATATATATATATATATATATATATATATATGGGCTGGTTCCTGTGAGAATGCACCTTGTGGAGAGAAATGAGAATGAAATCTAGCCGTTAGATCTGATGCATTGTGCGGCTCAGATTGCATCATGCGCTCAGATTTTGAGATAGTGCATTTTCAAAGGATTATGATGCATTTCGACGTGATGCATTTTCAAACCATTTTGTTGCATCTAATTTTGATGCAATCCTGACTCTTAGATCACACAATCTAAAGCACCAGATTGATTCTCATTTCTCTCCTAAGATCGCATTCTCACCAGAACTAATATATATATATATATGTGTGTGTGTGTGTGTGTGTGTGTGTGTGTGTGTGTTCCCATAGGCTGAGAATCCTAATCAATAAAGGAAACAAATCTCTATACAAGAAAACTACCAAAAACAATATATACGAAAATATATGAGAGAAAGACCAAAGTAGGACTAAAACATTGAAAATATACCAAAATAGGACTTCCACGTTTTTATTCCCGAAATAGGACTTACATTATCAAACATGGTCATATACATTACCAAAAAAGTATAGTTATGTGCACATGTACACTGCCACATTACCATAGTGCAAAGTCCTATTTCGGGGAAAAACATGAGAGTCCTATTTTGGTACTTTTCTCTATATTTGTCCTATTTAGGATGATTTCTAAAAATATATCCAAATATTCTCTTTTTTCTTTAACATCCCCTCAAGTTAGAGCATGTATTAAACAAATGCCCAACTTGGGAATAAGGAACTCCAGTCTTTTGTTGTTTAAAGACATTTTTTTCATTCAAATATCACATCTAATATAATACTCCCTCCGTCCCAAATTATTTGCCACATTTGTATTTCCGAGACAAAATATCAAGTTTTTTCAATTCATTTTATTTACATATTGGTAAAGAAATAAAAAATAAAATTTACATATAAAAAAACTACATGAAAAGTTTTTCGAAATAAGAGGTGTCAAAAATATTTTATTTTATCAAATAATCAATAAAAATTCGAAATAAACAAAAGTTTCCGACACTGCTGAAAAAGCAAATGTTGTGAATATTTAGGGACGGAGGGAGTAAATAAAAATAAAATTTTGAAAATAGAATGTTAGAGTGTCATCCCACATCAGAAGTTCGAGAGTAAAATATTCAGTATATAAGCTCTTGAGTTGAACTAACTAAAAGATTGGATTCAATCTTTTAATGTGGTTCAACCTAAGTTTCTATTTATCCAAATCCAATTATATTGTCCATATATACCCATCCTAAATTCTATCATAGAATTATAGAAAAGTACAAATTTATTCATATTAGAGCCTACACTATATGAAATTAGCCTATAAGCTTTTACAAGTACACAATAAACTTATTTGGATGTATAATAGGGTGTTGTTTGTTTGGGTTGTAAAAATAAAGTTGGATGTGGGAAAAATTGGAAGAAATTAGAAGTTAGAAAAAAATGGAAGGAGTTGAAAGAAAATGAAAGGGGTTGAAAAATGTAGAAAAAAATAAAGTGTTAAAAAATTAATTAAATAGTCACTAAAAATAAATATGTAAGAAAACTAATTTTAGATAAAAAAAGAAATTTATTTTTGTCCGTGTTTGATGTGGTATGATATAAATTTGGATATATGATGTTATTAAATATTAATTATATTTGAATACTCTCTATAAGTCGTTGTTAGAAAAAACTAAAAGAAGTTGGAAAAGCTAGAATAATTTAAAAAACCTGGGAGCGAGGAATTGAAAAAACTTAGACATTAATTTGTCAGTAAATAAATGTCACATTCATCACAGATTGTTTGTCCTGATTTGAATTTTTATAATTAAAATTGATAATTTTTTATTATTAATCAAATAAAATTATATTAGATATTGATACAAACAATACTATTAAATTTTATCCTATGAAATACTTTTAAAATAGTTTTTTTATCTAATTAATACTCCGGTATTATTTAATTATTGATCAACCAATGATCATAATTAGCTACAAAATTCAAAACTGAATAATCAACCGATACCGCGTAAGTGTGAAGTTCAATTTGGTAGGACCGAAGCAAATGAATAATGTGATGCAATATGCCTCCCTTTCAAAGTCCACTAACAATTCAAAAGTGGATCGTATAAAATGACAGAAAGTTTTGTATGCTTGGTTAAAAAGAATTTATTCTCTTCTTACCCTTTTTCCTAATTTTATCAAAATACCTATTTCTAACTCTATGTTTCTTCTATACCACTTCATCTATTGGTCTGTACCAAAAAAAAGTTGAACGGTAGATTTCAATCTTTTTCTGATGACAACGATTAATATCCTCAACCCCGAGGGCCTCTCGGACCCGGCTAGATAGACAGACAGTCATTGAGAGAAACAACGATTAAAATTAGAGAATCTATAATGATCTATTGGATCCTAAAATTGATTATTTCTAATCTATTTGCTTACCCAAGCCCATGCCCTTTCTTTCGTTATGCCGATTGGCAATAGCATGTCGGCGTAGATGGAAGGAAAGACATGGTGCTAGGATAGAAACAATGAAATTAATAGAATGAAACAATCAATTTTATAAACAAAATATCATAAGTGCTCTAAAAAGGTCCCGTAGTGTCACTTCAAGACAATGTTACCCAAAACGCATCAAAAGTTCAAATATTGTACTTTGCTGGTATAAAAAAGATTTTCACTTCGTATATTAGAGAGTATTTACAAAGTTAAGATATACTTCTCTGTGTAATTTTGCTCATCATTTGTAAGAACTTTGGGGTTTTTTTGGAAGAACTCTCAGATCTCACATTATCTAAAATCTACTCTGGGGTGCTTAAAATTTGTGATTTTATACTCCGTCGGTACATTCTCTCAATTTAGGTGTTAGATTAACGAATCTTTTACTTTGACAAATTGAAATTTTTATTTAAATTTAATAAAATACTGATTATCAATGTAAAATTTAGTATTTGTCAAATAAAATACTGATTATCAATGTAAAATTTAGTATTCCCTAGAATATATTTTGGATAATATAGGACCTGAAAGTTATAACAGAAAATCAAGGGTGCCCTCAGAGTTTATTTAAGATAATGTGGGACCTATGAGTTATTACCTGAAAATCAAGGCTCCGAAGTAGTTTTCTGCACTTTTACCATTACTTATTCTTACCATGTCAATCACAACATATCTATATACTCAGTAACAATCTACCCATCATGTACAAATATTCACCCATAATATTAAGGGTATCTTTATAAAGTCAACACAAAATTATCAATTCTTTTTTTTTTGAAGTTAAAATTATCAATTCTTTAAATCAATTAAAAGTTGAAAGAAGAAAGGTTTAAATGTACGCAAGGAGTATTCATTTCTTTTGTAAAATTTTTAATATGATTTTAAATATATTAATTTTATTCCTAATTTTATAATTATTAAAATAAATTCAATTAAACATGGTATACAGAAAATTTTGGAGGAAAAGAGTATATACACACTACACGAACGGGTAAATCCCCCCACTTCTACTAATACTCTTCAGAGAGAACTTTGAATTGATTGTTTCTTTGGGCAAGTAGGAAACTAATGTTGTGTGTAATTATGCACAATGGTAGACTAATGTTAATTATTTTGTAAAGCTTTACTACTGTTATTTATTTATTTATTTATTGAAAATTGGATCGGAATTGCCGGATAATGTGTTAAATGTTGGGAAATAAACACATAACACATAAATATCTGCGAGAAAGCGTGAGAGAAATATTTAACGTGGTTCAGTTTTTTAATTCACGACAGCAACATGAGGAATTGAATTTCACTTGTGGTGCCAAGAATTACAAACACAAGTGTGCTATATATATAGGAAGAGCCTAAATATAGGGTTTCATAACATGGGTCGGGCTTGGCCAACAACAAGCCTCCATAGAGCCCAACAATCTCCCACTTGGAGACTTGAAAATCTTCAACTATCATCCACATAGAACACTTGTATATCTAGAAACATTCTTCTACTCTCTTGTTGAGCCTGCAACGGCCTTCTTATCAGTGAACTGAAAGGCCCGTTAAAAGTTAAAACTTCCCGGGGCTCTAACACATCGGCCACGGTTAAACCTGGTTCTCCTGACCACGAGATCACGAATTTGATTGAAAGTGAATCTATTCGGTCTTAATAATTGGTAACCGTTGTAACCATTCAGGATCAACTGTCAATCTGTCATGCAAAGATGATAGCAATGGCAAAGCTTGAACTTCATCATCGAACTTAAACCCCATTGACGCAAGTCTGGATAAGATCGAATTCAATTTATTAATATGCCCGGTAACTAAAGTGCCTTCTTTCATCCTCGTGTTCACCAGCTCTCTAATTAGAAATGTCTTGTTTTTTGAAGATGGCTTCTCGTACATGTTAGACATCGCTACCATAATTCCCTTCGTTGTCTTCTCTTTCGGAATATTGAATGCAACACTCTTGGTCAACGAGAGACGGATCACAAACACAGCCTTCCGATCCAGAACTGCCCAATCTACATCCACATCTTTTTGGGCTTGTCACCCCAAACGACGTCCAAATCTTTCTAAACCAGCAAATCTTCAATTTTTATTCTCCACCAACTAAAATATGTACAATCAAACTTCTCAATTTTAAGCTTTCCATCTTCTGCCATCTCAAATAACTAGACGAGATATTCGGTACAACTAATTTCAGATCTAGGTAATTTCGTCAGAAAAATTCAGACAAATCCACAGCCCACAAATTCAACCATTCCAAACCAAACAACAAGCCCAAAAAATCCAATCAAAGCCCAAAACCAATCCAAAGAAAAAAAACCAATGGCTGACCAATTGAAAATCAATAGGCCCACTGCGCTTTTTATTTCTTCCTTCCGCCTTGTTTTGCAAGGGCTACTCACAGACGATCCACCGGCGGCGGCAAATCTAGACGACAATCTGTCCTGGACGTCACAGGTGGAGCGACTCTGGACAGAGACTGAACAGAGAAAACATGCGATTCTGCTGCGCACAACTGAACTAGCGGCTCTCGCGACCTAGAATCAGGATCCTGACTCGCCGGCGCGATGGTAATTGCTCGAGAACTCAACGGCGGCTCGGAGATCTCCAGCGATCAGCAGTGCTCCTCTGTGCACGCTTGGACCAGCACCAATCTTAGATCAACAGCGGACGACGATCGGTTCAGAAAGGTAGCGGCTCTTCTCTGGTTCTTGACAGCGTTGTAGTGGCGATTCCTCTCACGACGACAATCTCAGGCTCTGCTCGCACGGTTGAACCCCAGGTGACAAATTTTCTCATAATTTGTGCTGTGTTGTTAACAACCTATACTCGATATCTATTATAGGAAATTAAACACACAACACACACAAACACAAATATCTCTAAGAAAACGAGAGAAAGGAACACAAACGACATACAAGAATTTAATTAACATGGTTCAATTTTCCTAATCTACTGTTGCAACACTTGTGGTGCCACACAGGAATTACAAATACAAGTGTGCTATATATACGAAGAGCATACATTATACATCTACGGTTTTATTACCTAAACACATGGTTTTTGCCGCTTCTTGCCTCGCACTCGCCACGGAAATAATCATAGTGACACGCCACATGCCATGCGATCCAATTTTTACTTTGCCCATTGTGCTGCTTTCCTCTCCATGAGTAGCAGTGTGTGGCAAGGTAAAACCTCACCGCTGCCAATGCTCTAAATACCATTGGACATTGTTCTTGCCACTACCCATTACTCAAGCACTATTTAGAAAATTAAAAAGTTCAAGTACTAAATTGGGAAATGACATATGTTTTAGTACTATTTAATGCAAATTTCACTTATTATAAATAGAGTGGATTTAATCAGTTATGGTGTGGATTTAGCATCATCCTATAAGTAATTCGAGGGAGTATGATAAATTAAAATTGTGGATGAAGGGTATATATACAACACCTTTGTTTTAAAAATTAATGATTCATCCACCCTATATTACTGGTAAATTAAACCTCCTCGTCACGGCTCGACTTTATCCACTTTCATCCCTTTACTTGACTTTGCAGTCAAATTGATGCAATTGGAGGGAATATGAATTCGAGTCGAGATGAAGTGAAAAGCGTTTAAGGATAAAACTTCGAGAAGTAGAGGAAAACACGCTCAAGCCCAAAAATGTGATGTTATAGTCAATATGATCAAAGAAGTTTCTAGGAAGGATAAACCTTTATCTACCCAACCGCGTCTTCACCAAACAGATTACAATGTCACCCCCAAACCTATATATATATATATATATATATATATATATATATATATATACACACCCACCCTTGACCATACCATATTACCATACATCTCTTTATTCAAACATTGCAACAATTTATTTTATTTTATTGGACAAAATTCAAATATAATTACTCCCTCTTTGTTCGATTTCCGGTCGAGGCATGTCGGAAACTCACTTGAACGGAGCCTACTACGGCCCGTCCATCCCCCCGCCGCCGACGAAATCCTACCGCCGTCCCGGCCGCGGAAGCGGCGGCGGGTGCTGCTGCTGCTGCTGCGACCTCTTCAGCTGCCTCTTCACATGCGCCTGCAACTGCCTCTTCAAGATACTCTGCACCCTCATCCTCCTCCTCGGCGCCGCCGCCCTCGTGCTCTGGCTCGTCCTCCGCCCGCACAAGATCAGCTTCCACGTCGAGGACGCCGCCCTGACCCGGTTCCACCTCTCCCCGGCGAACAACACCCTCTACTACGACCTCTCCGTCACCGTCTCCGCCCGGAACCCGAACAGGCGCATCGGCGTCTACTATGACTCCGTCGACGCCACGGCGTTCTACCGAAACCGCCGGCTCTCCACGGTCCAGAATCTGGGGGGGTTCTACCAGGGGCACAAGAACACCACCGTCCTGAAGGCGGCGTTCAGGGGGCAGAGCGTGGTTCCGCTCGACGGCGGCGACAGGGGGGGCTACGATGGGGAGACGAAAGAAGGGGTTTACGGGATCGACGTGAAGCTTAAGATGAGAATCCGGCTGAAACTGCGGTGGATCAAGACGAGGAAGATGAAGCCCACCATTGAATGTGATCTCAAGGTTCCATTGTCGGGATCCAAGATTCCATTTGAGAGGACTCGGTGTCATCTTGACTGGTAGATGCGCGTGGAGATTATATACTATTCTGTATTTAATTTGTTTGCGGTCTAATTATTTTTTTAAAAAAATTTGTTACCTTTAAATTTTTTCCCTTGTAATTTTTTTTGTTGTGAATAAATAAAAGGCGTCATTGCTTCATTTAATTTGCTTGCAAGGCTGCAACTTTCTTCTTAACGGTGTCGTTTTATAATAACGTTAGAGGTTAATATTAGCGTTTTGAAAAGACTATCCGAAAGTAGTCTTTAGAGTTAGCATTTTCAGACCTAATTTACATCTTTAAATTGTTATCATAAACGGTAAATCCAATTGAAAACGTGAGGCCAAAATGTTCTTTGCACGACTCTAACCCTAATTGTTTTTGCTCTCTCCTGTTTCTTCTCGCCGTTTTCCGCCGGGCATCGCAGAAAAAAAACCATCGCAGTTCTCCACTGTTTTTTTTTTCCGCCGCCATCGCCAGTCGTCGTCGAACATCGCCATCCTCCCCTTCATCGCGCAGCAATCGAAGGTAAGGTAGCAGGGGCGGGAGGCAGAGCAACAGGGCAACAACATTCTTCTGGGCTCCGATTTCGGATCCCAAAATCCCCATTTTTTCCGGAAATTTCAGATCCCCACAACAGACCAGGTATCTAAAATTATCAGATTTAATCCTTTAAACTCATAGTTCTACATGTTTTCTGTTCGTGTACAGAAAATTGTTGTTTGCTATATGATTTAGGAATTGTTTTGGCTTAGACCATTATAAAATTGAAGAAATTTGTAAAGTACTCAGTTTCGAAACGAATTCTGATTTTTGTTTTTTTTTTTGCAATTCTTTTTCTGTAAATTTGAAGGCCAAGAAACGAACTTTGCAACAGTTTTTTTTTTCTTTTAAAAACGAAGATGTTTTGAAACTTTCAATGGACATGGTCTTAATTGGGCTAATAATAATAATAATAATAAAAAGAACTATTAGTTCTTGAAAGATATTGTGAAAATTCCTTCTCTCTGATGACTTTTGCATATACGTAAATCTATCATCTTTCATACATGTGCATTTTATTTTGAGATTGATGTTTCATTCATGCTTGTTCAAACATTAATTTATTCCTCGTATGTCTTCACATAAAATAAAAAAAACAGTTTTGGTAGGGACATAAATAGCACTCTTTAGATAGTATCATGTCTTGTGAGTGATAATTTTTGAATGCCCATTGCGTAGTGTTAATCACCACGTATACTTCTTTGTTAATATACTACTTTGTGTACATGCTTTATAAACATGAATTGATGCATAATTTCATCCATCCGTATCTTTACTGTCAATTATGTTTTAACAAATTTTGCAAGCATCTCAAAACTTCAAGCTCACCTACCATCCGTTTCATATGTAAGATATACATACATATACTCCGAAAAAGAGAATTTACATTAAAGTGTCAATTTTTTTTTGCAAATTAGAACCTGAAGTTCTCCAAAAATTTTCTTTTACTAACTTGCCTTAATATGTTTTTTTTGGTAGTTAAAATGTCAAACCTTTCAAAACTCGATTTTCTCGAACTCGATATATCCGGGAAAAACTTCCTCACATGGACCTTAGATGCTAAAATTCACCTTACGGCAAAGAATCTAGGAGACACAATCTCTGAAGGAAATGAAGCTTCTGTTCAAGATAAGGCAAAGGCCATGATATTCCTCCGTCATCACCTACACGAAGACCTGAAAAAGGAGTATCTCACCATTGAAGATCCCCTCGAATTGTGGAAAAAAGCATTCAAGAGCGCTTTAATCACCAGAAGTTGATCTTACTGCCAAAGGCTCGTTATGAATGGCTCCATCTAAGACTACAAGATTATAAATCAGTCTCTGAGTACAATTCTGCACTTTTCAGCATCACCTCCGTCCTGAAGTTATGCGGAGAACCAATAATTGATAAAGAAATGCTTGAAAAGACTTTTTCTACGTTCCATACATCTAATATTAATCTGTAAGAGCAATACAGAGAACGTAAATTCACTAAGTATTGTGATTTGATATCATGTCTGTTGGTAGCAGAACAAAACAAAGAGCTACTCGTGAGAAATAATCAAGCACGACCAGTTGGTGCGAGCCCATTCCCTGAAGTGAATGTGGCAACTACTCAGAGTGGACGAGGGAGAGGAAGAGGCCGCGGCCCCAGCAGAGGTCGTGGTCGTGGACGAAGCAATACATGGCATCGAGATTCTTATAATCCTAAGCATGGAAAGGGTAAATTGAAGCAGAATGATGGGGGACGACCCCCAAAGGATAAAGCTAAAGGAGGCCAAGAAAATACCTGTTTCAAGTGTGGCATGACCAACCACTGGTCTCGAACATGTCGCACCCCTAAACATCTCGTGGAGGCATATCAACGAATGGTGAAAGAGAATGAAAAGGGAAAACACGTTGAGACAAATCTCGTTGACACCACCACTACCTCATCAATTTCTACTATGCTCACAAATACTCATCTAGATGCATCTGATTTCATTGAGGACCATTAAACCATTGAGGACCATTAAACCATACTGCGTAGTTTTTTTTCCTATCTTTACGACTATGTTCTAGACAATGTGTTGCATTCATTTGGATCTTCTGTTTTGAACTTGTTTGATGTTTTTCCTATGCTCTCTATTATGCCTATTCTTCTTATTCAAAGCTTTATGAGGTGATTTATTAAATGCATGCATAATAATCATTATTTTATTTCTTGAAGAAATATGAACACAAGCTCCAGCAGAGCTCTTATTGGTGATGAATGTTTGGTAGATAGTGGTAGCACCAACACAATCCTAAAACATAAGAAATATTTCTCTGAATTATTTCCAATCAAAATACTTGTTGGTACTATCTCGGGTGCTAGTGACCTAATTGAAGGCTCCGGAAGAGCATGCATCGTATTACCCTCTGGTACCAAATTAATTATAAATGATGCATTATACTCAAGTAAATCCAGAAGAAATTTACTTAGTTTTAAAGATATAAGACAAAATGGTTACCACCTTAAAACCACATCCGAAAATAGTAGAGAATACCTACAAATTATTTCGAATGAAGACACTTTAGAAAAGCTAGAAGCTTTATCCTCTGGTTTATATTGCACTACTATTAATCCTATTGAGTCATATATGGTAAGTAACCAGAAGTTACTAGATAGAGACACTTTTACCATATGGCATGACCGACTAGGTCACCCTGGCAGTACCATGATGAGACGCATAATAAAAAATGCGAATGGGCATCCACTTAAAAATCTCAAAATCTTACTACCGCAAGATTTATCATGTGCAGCATGCTCTCTGGGAAAATTTATAACACGGCCCTCTCAAATAAAATTGATACATGAAAATCCTTCCTTTTTGGAAAGAATCCAAGGGGACATCTGTGGGCCCATACACCCTCCGTGTGGACCTTTTCGCTATTTCTTAGTGTTGATTGATGCTTCCTCACGATGGTCACATGTGAGTCTTCTAGCTACTAGAAATGTAGCATTTGCGCGACTTTTAGCCCAAATCATACAATTAAGAGCGCATTTCCTAAAAAATCAAATTAAAAATATTCGCATGGATAATGCAGGAGAATTTACATCCCAGGCTTTTGATGATTATTGCATGTCAATTAGGATAAATGTTGAACATCCAGTAGCTCATGTTCATACACAAAATGGTCTAGCTGAATCATTAATTAAAAGATTGCAGTTAATTGCTAGACTGCTTCTGATGAGAAGTAAATTGCCATCTTCGGCATGGGGGCACGCTATTTTACATGATGCTGCACTGATCCGACTAAGACCAACTGCTGATCAAGAATGCTCCCCACTTCAATTGGTCTCTGGAAGAGAACCAAATCTGTCCCATTTAAAAATATTTGGTTGCGCAGTTTACGTCCCAATACCGCCACCACAACGTACCAAAATGGGACCCCAGAGAAGACTGGACATTTATATTGGTTTTAACTCCGCGTCTATCATTAAATATTTAGAACCGTTGACAGGAGATATGTATACAGCACGGTATGCTGACTGTCAATTTAATGAGACAGTATTCCCAGTCTTAGGGGGAGACAAGAATGAAGAAAGACTGGTAACACAAGTAGTATGGAATGCATCATCACTATCGATACTCGACCCCCGAAGTGGTCAATGTGATTCTGAAGTCCAAAAGATCATACATTTGCAGCGCATAGCAAATGAATTACCAGATGCATTCATAGATACAAATAGAGTGACAAAGTCACATATACCAGCATCTAATGCACCTGCTCGTATTGAAGTTATCCCAGAAGCGATTACCATACAAAGAAAGCGTGGGAGACCAATCGGTTCCAAAGATAAGAACCCACGAAAACAAAGGAGCAAAATTGTGCAGTTGGTGTAACCACAGAGAAGGTTATGAAACATACCCCTGTAGAGGTAAATGTCCCAGAAGTGACTAATACATTTCCAGAGGAAAATGATATTCCTGAAGAAAGACCGGTACCAAATGAAAATGAGATCTCTATTAATTATGTACAAGATAGTACAATATGGAACCGTCATGAAACACGTGTTGATGAAATTTTTGCATATGCTATAGCAATGGATGTACTAAATGAGAATGATTACATACCTAAAACTCTAGAAGAGTGCATGCACAGGAATGATTGGCCTAAATGGAAAGAGGCCGTGAACGCTGAACTTGATTCACTTCACAAACGAAATGTTTTCGGACCGCAGTCCGAACACCCATAGACGTTAAACCAGTGGGTTATAAATGGGTGTTTGCAATAAAAAGAAATGAAAAGAATGAGATTATGCGATATAAGGCGCGACTTGTAGCACAAGGGTTTTCCCAAATCCCAAGAGTTGATTATGAGGAAACGTACTCCCCTGTAGTGGATGCGATAACCCTTAGATTCTTAATCGGCCTCACAATCTCAGAAGGACTTCAGATGAAACTTATGGATGTTGTCACTGCATACTTATATGGGACACTTGAGAATAACATCTACATGAAAATCCCTAAAGGATTCAAAATGTCAGAAGCATTAAAATCAGTACCTCGAGACATGTGTGCTATACAACTCAAAAGATCTTTATATGGTCTCAAGCAATCTGGTCGTATGTGGTACAATCAACTTAGCGAATATCTTGAAAAGCATGGTATTAAATCTGATGTAATTAGCCCATGTGTTTTTATAAAAAGATCACTCTCTAAATTCACTATTGTAGCAGTTTATGTTGATGATATAAACATCATTTGATCTTCTGAAGAGATAGAAAAAACTGCTGAGCTCTTAAAAGGAGAATTTGAGATGAAAGACCTTGGCACAACAAAATTATGTCTTGGTTTGCAATTCGAACATTTGCACAATGGCATATTCGTCCATCAGTCAAACTACATCCAGAAGATGTTAGTACGTTTTAATATGGATAAGGCACATCCGTTGAGCATACCCATGGTTGTCCGATCCTTAGATATACATAAAGATCCTTATCGCCCCCAAGAAGAGGGTGAAGAAGTACTTGGTCTAGAAGTACCATATTTAAGCGCGATCGGTGCACTCATGTATCTTGCAAATAATACAAGGCCTGATATTGCATTCTCAGTACATCTATTAGCAAGATTCAGTTCAAACCCAACACATAGACATTGGAATGGGATAAAACAAATATTTCGATATATTTGTGGGACACGAGACTTAGGTCTCTTATACCAGAAAGATGAAAAGTCCCAACTTGTAGGGTATGCTGATGCTGGGTATCTATCAGATCCACACAATGCACGTTCTCAAACAGGTTATGTGTTTACATACGGTGGTACAACAATTTCCTGGAAGTCAACAAAGCAAACTCTAACAGCAACATCATCAAATCAAGCTGAATTGGTAGCACTTTATGAAGCTGGTCGAGAGTGCGTTTGGTTGAGATCGATGATTGATCATATACAAGGAGCATGCGGTTTGGAAGAAATCAAGAAGAATCCTACAATTATATATGAAGACAATG